GCCACAATAGCCGCTTTGCGCCCTCAATCTGGCTAGCAAACCGACCCGACCCGACCAGACCAGACCCGACCCGATCCCCCAGATGGCACCCCGTATTATAGTCTACTCTAAAACACAATGAACACAAGGAGTAAATGATGACACTGCGCAGATTTTAATTGTTTCATGCACACAGCCCAACATTCGAAACTTCAATAAACTAATTCTTGAACCAACAATCATAATGTTATGAAGGATGGAAACGAAACTGATTTCTAAATCAGATAAATAGTACACAATATATTAATTTGTTTGATGAAACAAAGACATAATATATTATAATTTGAAGTAGAATAACATTGAATAATCAATGCAAATGTATAATTTTCACAACATTCACGGCAAAATTCCTTGTGTCCATCACAAAGTCACATCAATTCACTTCTACTACAAAGGCATAACATGGGCACAGTCTGTGACATTACCAAATCTTAATGTAAGATTTACAGAAAACGATCGTGTAGAAAATCTTTGATGACTGTCTTCATATCCCGTGAGAGGTACCGGAACTGTGGAATGTGGGTGTCTTTGGCAGGCACGGTCACTCTCAGATTGGAATGTAGAGAGGTTGTAAAGTAAAAAACGCCGTTTGTGCAGAATTCATATTTAGAGTCACGTCGATGATACCGTAAAGCTACGGGGTTGGTTTTTTTTGGACTTTTTCAAAGTTAAAAAATGCCCCTACATATCCTAAAAATATGGACTTTTCTCAAAAGTCACAGTTTTTAAAACTGCGAAAGTCATAATTTCGAAACCTCAATCGCTTTATTTCTTTATTTAAAAATGTTTTTTTAAAAAAGAAAACAAAAGTAAAAGACATTCTAACTTTGTATTAGCGGTATACAGCCACAGAAGGCGGCAGTGCAGACTCACAACACAGACCGAGAGACATATGAAAAGGTCACGTTTAAAAAAAAAAAGAAAAAAAAAAGAAGAAAAATGAAAAAGAAAAAAGAAAAAAAAGGCTGAATCGAAATACTCCAGGCACAAGTTACCCTATTTTTCGCTTGTCTAAATGACGGACTTGGTTAGTTCTAAACTCGTTCGCTGCCAGACCATTTTGCACTCCCGTTAAACTGCTAAAAAAACCAACAAACCTCCAAAAATGTTATACCAGTTGACGAAGGGATGAACCCAATTTTGCAGTTTGTGAGTGACTTATCTGGTTATTAGCATGGCTGGTTTCATCGGGATATTGTACGGGTGCTGTTACAGGTACGGGCTATAGTATCCTGTTTTTTTTTTCTGGTGGTGTTTTCTCTCGTTTCGTTCTGATTTAAAAAAAAGTGAAAGTGGACGTACCTTGTTTGGTCGCTTTTAAGTACAAGGGGGCTATCTCCCCCCCCCCCCCCCCTAAAAAATGCTGTTTTGAGAAAATCGAAGGTCAAGTTTTTGCCCCTTGTTCAGTCTCTATGAAAGACAAGGAGAGTTTTCTCTATAACCAAACAAATATACACACCAATGAAAACAAATGTCTCCTAAAGGTAGTGCAAAGCCCACTTTTGGTGTAGGTCAAGATTTCTGGAAACCCCCGACATCTGGGTTAGCCGCTTGTCCTTAACAGCGACTGTTTTTCCCTTGGTCCCTTCGTTTGTTTTGACGTTCATACATAGTCAGTCGCTCGAGATCAAAAAGGGTTAAGTAATGATGATGGAATGTGATTAGGTAGAAGAAAATAAGTAATTAATTGAAATAATAGTTTTCATTGAGCAGCGAGATCTTGAATAAACGTCTTTGTAAAAACGCGCACACTACTTGGGCATTGGTTTATTTGGCAATTACAATTATAATAAGTCTATTTCTCTCTCCGTCTGTTTCTCTTTGTCTGTCTATCTACAGTATCTATCTACAGTATCTCTCTCTCTCTCTCTCCTTCTCCCTCTCTCTCTCTCTCTCTCTCCCTCTCTCTCTCTCTCTCTCTCTCTCTCTCTCGCCTCTCTCTTTATCTCATTCTCATTTATCTTCACTTCATCTCTCTCATCACTCTCTCCTCTCGCTCTCCCTCTCTGTGCCACACAAACACACACACACACACACACACACACACACACACACACACACACACACACACAAACACACACACTAACACACACACACACACACATTTCCATATTCATGGACAATTTCATACTTATGATGTTTATGATTGTCTTTATCTTTACAGCTGTTTCCATAGCCCTCTCGTCGACCTTCTCCCGAAATAAATAAATACATAAATGAATAAATAAATAAATAAAAATAAAAATAATAAATAAATAAAGACTTCATAAAGCAAAAATAAAGTTTCTTTTTACTAATCAATTCATCGAAGTAAAAATATTCAAACCTTGTGTACTTTTCTCTTCTCTCAACACAAATGAATACAAAGTAACTTGGTGCGTCTCCCCCCCCCCCCAAAAAAAAATAAATTTAAAAAAAAGTAAAAAATCACCCGAACAGTTACACAGCAATTTTGAACCTGATATTATCATCATTATTATTGTATTATCATTCAATTTAATCTTCCCAATTCTTCCTCTGACCAAGAAGACGAACAAAGTTAAAGCATAATGTCACGTGCACCTTCGTTGTATCGACAGATCTGATCACACATTATCATTATTATCATTCTTATTATCATCATTACTATTATCATTATCTTTCTGGCCCATAGCAGAGACATATTTTGTCATTTCGTAGAATTCACTGATCATTACTACGTGCTATAATTGCGCTATTACTCACTCAGTCGTCAAAAGCAAACAAGCAAACAAACAAGCACAAAACTCAGACCCATTAACGTCACTATCAGCCAAATATCACATGGATACCACCTCTCGTTAAACAAACAATACTTCCTGCAATAGACACATTCACGTAATTAATTATAAACTGCCTTTAACTAATTAATCACAAGTAGAAAAGGCACAACACATGTCGCTGTTACGTGAATGAAACACGACATGAAGAATTAAACAAAATATTATACCACAGTCTTGCATACACTCCGCAAAACAGTAAACAAGATTTCATAATATGGCTCCTTTACCCTGTCCCCAAAAAATCAGTATCAAATATCACCGAATCTGTTCTCTTCTCTTACTGCAAAAGATACACAACGTTGTAGCATGTTATCCACAAATTATATACTGATGTCATTATCAGCCTAAACGTAGACCATTAATTAATGACATAACACTGTCGCTATCGCAAGCACACCACTTAAGTCCAAGTTTTGAGAATTTTCGAATTATTTTGACACCCTTCCAAAACTCTATCAAAGATGCACCTTTCAACATCACCAAAACTGCAGTTTAATTCTATGGTCAAAGCTTACAGTTTTCTTGCTTTTCCTGATTCCTGATAGGAACAGCACAATAAAAAAAGTAGGGTTTTTTATATGGTCTCTGGTGTAAAAAGTACCCAAATGAACTTAAGTGGATTGTCCACGACACCGAAGATATTGTGTGTGTCACTCAGCCATTAACTCTACAAGGGCGCGCTTTCTGGTCATTCGACAAGGCTAGAAGACACGATGTGTATTATTTTGGAACACTTCAGAACAGAAGCATAACTTCGATATTCATATCGATTGTTCCATTCTATTTTTTAAAAAATGTGAAACCTAAAAAGGCAGGCAACAGTATGTATACAATGAACCATACTAAAATTGTATAGATGATACATGTATGACAGTTTGGAATATTGACTTGACTGCAGATGTGCAACGCACTGGGTGACCTTGATACACAACTTCACCATTGGCGATCAACTAAATAATAAAACTGGTAAAATTTACATAATAACGCATCAAATCAGGTTCACCGCGAGCAAGTATGCTTATTTTGAGACGCTGGTTCCGAATATGAAATCCGTTTTTACCTGCGATAATTATTTTTAAAAAATTTGAGCCCTAAGTCTAATCCTGCACGGTGGCAACGTTTAAAGTGATTCTAGGTCACAGCGCGTCTGCCCAAATCTGACCGTGGTCGCACGGAAAATATCAAGCAGCGCTTGATTTCTCGACCGAGTCTCCCAGCCATCGTTCAATCGCCCAAATTTTGCACCATTTTGTGGTTACACCTGACGATTTGTCTCATGATCGATAGATCGTCCAGTTTTTGTACAATTTATCGTTGCGTGTAACCGGGGTGTCAGAGAGTGAACGAAAAACACATAGATGCATGCTATACAGGCTTTCCATTATGTTCAGGAATGTAGAATTATTTTCATCTGTACAATTCATCATCACAACCGTAATATACAGGTCAGATTTATCGTAGATAAGTGTACGCCAGTTTCTGCGTGTGCTACTCATGTCATGATCATTTCAACAATACAACCTCTCGCACCCCCCCTCTCCCAGCCCCCTCAAACACACAAACCGATACCCCATCTCTCTCTCTCGCTCTCTCTCTCTCTCTCTCTCTCTCTCTCTCTCTCTCTCTCTCTCACTGTCTCTCTAAATCTTCTCGCTCTCTCGCTCTCTCTCTCACTGTCTCTTTAAATCTTCTCTCTTTCTCTGTACCCCTTCTCTCAATCTTCTCTCGGCCTCTCTTTTTGCCCCCCCCCCCCACTCTCCCTCTCCCTTTCTCTCTTTCTATCTGTCACACACATTATACCTCCTACCCTTTCCGAGTATGTCGCCCCCTCTCTCTTTCTATCCCTATCTCTCTCTCTGTCTATCTGTCCATCTGTCTGTCTGTCTCTCACAGAGATATATAACATACAGATAGACACAGACGTCTCTCGCACAAACACAAACATGATAATACAAGCACACACATACACACATCTTTATGCGTACATGTTTGTGTGTGTGTGTGTGTGTGTGTGTGTGTGTGTGTGTGTGTGTGTGTGTGTATGTGTGTACATATGTGTGTGTATGCATGTGTGTGTTTGATTTCTTGATTATCTCTACCCTCTACCTCAATCTCCACCCTCCCACCTCGATACCCAGTCCAAAGGATACTTTCTCCATCTTGTTACACTTAAACCTGCTCTAACGACCACCTGTCTAAGACAACCACCTGTCCAAGACAATCACTCCCCCCCTCAACCCCCAACCACCTTGCGGTTTTTTTTCTATATGGTCGCTTTTAAGCACAAGGGGGCTATCCCGAAAAATGCTGTTTTGAGAAAATCGAAGGAAAAGTCTTTGCCCCGGGTCGTTTTGGACAGCTTTGATTATTGACTGTGGGTAGTCGTCTTGGACAATTTCATTTATCGACAATGGGTGGATTGTATCCCTGTAACTTTCCTCAGTGTTTGGACGTGGTCTCATCCCTCATCTCCAGGGTTGCGCTCCCTGCGTTGTGACCCATGACCTCTTCATACCTAGGCGCGGGAACATCAGAGACATGTGCGCCGTTCAGCCTCACCTCAGGGGTCGGGGCGAGGGGCGTTGTCGTGGTGGTCGTAGAGGTCTTCCTGTACACGCCCCCTTCGCCAGCCGTGAAGCTCTCATTGGGCGAGGAGGAGCTCGCTGACGTCACCACGACCTTCACGCCCTCCTCGGCGGCGAGCGGTGACACACGCTTGGCGATCTCGCTGTTCGCCGCGTCGAGCCCGCTCAGCGTCGGAACACCGCCACCACCACCTCCACCTCCTCCACTGGCATTGCCATTACCACCAGCACCACTACCACTACCACCACTAAAGAAACCAGCGGCGCCTTTCACCGCGTCGCGGGGGGCGTTTCCCGCTGATACAGCCGTAGTAGCAGCAGCAGCCGCGGCAGCTGTAGCGATCCGCTTTCCGTGCACGTTGCTCACATTGGCGTTGAAGTTGGCCGGGTAGGTGTAGGTGCTGCTGGAGCTAGAGCGCGCGCTGCTCATTCCTTTCCCGAACGCCAGACTGTTGCTGAAGGCGGTGGACTGCTGGTGAGCAGCGGCGGTGGCAGAGTTGGCAGAGGCAGAAGCGCCGCGGACTGAGCCCGCTGGCGGTTGTTTGACGCCGGAGAAGTCGGGCCTCTCGTAGACGTCGTTGTAGTGAGGGTCCAGGTAGTGCGGCTGGAAGTGGATGTTGGACGTGGAGCGGAGCATGCGGTTCTGTATGGTCGTGTGGGGGTCGATGCTGGGCCTGAGGAGATGTTTGTAACACATTACATTGATCGATCGATCGATTGATTGATTGATTGATTGATTGATTGATTGATTGATTGATTTGATTTGATTTGATTGATTGATTGATTGATCGATCGATCGGTTGATTGATTGATAGATAGATAGATAGATAGATAGATTGATTGATTGATTGATTGATCGATGATTGATTGATTGATTGAGTGATTTGATTGGCTTGTTGATTGATTTATAGATTTGGTTATTAATTAATTAAAATTAATTATTTATGGTTTTATCTACTTACT